ATACAAATAACCAACTATGTTGTAACAATTTTTACATAATAAATACATATAAAACTAATGTTGACTTATAAGCCACGATCAAACATCGAGTGATTTGCTCATTTCAATTTTCCAATGTGGTGTCACCCCAATCCACTAGGTTGTACGGTGTATTTCGTTCTACTCCGTACATTGTTTGTGAGAGTTGCAATTGCTGTCACCCCCCCCCCCCCGCCTCCATCTTACTTTGCCTAATGCAGTGAATTGGTGTCTCTCCCCCCCCCCCTTTACCCCGGCCGTTGATAGAAGTTTTAGTTATTGAAACTAGTCAATAGACCAAAACTCTATTTCACGAGTTTACGCTGGCTAAGTGAGACAAAATATCTCGGCTACATAAAGGTAGCCTAAAGGGGGGGGGGGGGGTCACCAGTGGGTAGGTCACATTGTTTACCCAAATGTTTAACCAAATGTTTACTTTTGAGGTCTCTGTCATCCCGAGATGTGTGCTGTCAACTTTTGTGTATGTTAATGTTTGTCCCCACTTGTAGGTCTTGACGTGACCTAATGTCTGTTTTGTAGGTCTTGATGTGACCTATTGTCTTGTAGGTCTTGACGTGACCTAATGTCTGTCTCGCAGGTCCTGGTGTGTGGCATGTCTCAGAAAGCGGTGAATGAAGAACTGAGCAAAGAGATTCGTGAGTACGACAGCAGCCGTGACGTCACCGTAGCTGTTGGCGCCGCCATTGCTGTACTTGCTGGAGCAACAGCTGTAGCTGGTAAATCTTTGAACGACCCTGATTATGCTGGTCTATAGACCATTACTGTCACATTTCTATGCCACCAATTCCACCATTCAACCTAAAAAAATGTGGTACCACTAAATCTCAATTCTCCGCAGCGGGTGTTGCGTCATACGCTGTTGGCCAGTTAGAAAACTACAGGAAAGATGTTTCGTCTATTTGGATGGCGTGTATACCGGTGAGTCATGTGAACTGCATGCTGTCTTCATGTTCCCTGTTAACATTTGTATCTGAACAGTTCATGTTCACTGTTAACATTTGTATCTGAACAGTTCATGTTCCCTGTTATCATTTGTATCTGAACAGTTCATGTTCCCTGTTATCATTTGTATCTGAACAGTTCATGTTCCCTGTTAACATTTGTATCTGAACATTTCATGTTCCCTGTTAACATTTGTATCTGAGCAGTTCATGTTCCCTGTTAACATTTGTATCTGAACAGTTCATGTTCACTGTTAACATTTGTATCTGAACATTTCATGTTCCATGTTATCATTTGTATCTGAACAGTTCATGTTCCCTGTTAACATTTTTATCTGAACAGTTCATGTTCCCTGTTAACATTTGTATCTGAATAGTTCATGTTCCCTGTTAACATTTTTATCTGAACATTTCATGTTCCATGTTATCATTTGTATCTGAATAGTTCATGTTCCCTGTTAACATTTTTATCTGAACATTTCATGTTCCCTGTTAACATTTGTATCTGAACATTTCATGTTCCATGTTATCATTTGTATCTGAACAGTTCATGTTCCCTGTTAACATTTTTATCTGAACAGTTCATGTTCCCTGTTAACATTTGTATCTGAATAGTTCATGTTCCCTGTTAACATTTTTATCTGAACATTTCATGTTCCCTGTTAACATTTGTATCTGAACATTTCATGTTCCCTGTTAACATTTGTATCTGAACAGTTCATGTTCCCTGTCGTTACTGGGGTTGCAGCCACATACAGAAGGCAGATGTCAAGCGTAAGTCATTAGCCTCATTTACATAATTAACATAAGTCATGACTAGATATTATATGGACAAAATGCTTCTTGCTCCATCGTGTTAATATGTGCAGCCCCATAAATGTTTGTGCTTGTAGCCCCATAAATGTTTGTGCTTGTAGCCCCATAAATGTTTGTGCTTGTAGCCCCATAAATGTTTGTGCTTGTAGCCCCATAAATGTTTGTGCTTGTAGCCCCATAACTGTTTGTGCTTGTAGCCCCATAAATGTTTGTGCTTGTAGCCCCATTATGTTTGTGCTTGTAGCCCCATAAATGTTTGTGCTTGTAGCCCCATAAATGTTTGTGCTTGTAGCCCCATTATGTTTGTGCTTGTAGCCCCATTATGTTTGTGCTTGTAGCCCCATAAATGTTTGTGCTTGTAGCCCCATAAATGTTTGTGCTTGTAGCCCCATAAATGTTTGTGCTTGTAGCCCCATAAATGTTTGTGCTTGTAGCCCCATAACTGTTTGTGCTTGTAGCCCCATAAATGTTTGTGCTTGTAGCCCCATAAATGTTTGTGCTTGTAGCCCCATTATGTTTGTGCTTGTAGCCCCATAAATGTTTGTGCTTGTAGCCCCATAAATGTTTGTGCTTGTAGCCCCATTATGTTTGTGCTTGTAGCCCCATTATGTTTGTGCTTGTAGCCCCATAAATGTTTGTGCTTGTAGCCCCATTATGTTTGTGTTTGTAGCCCCATTATGTTTGTGCTTGTAGCCCCATTATGTTTGTGCTTGTAGCCCCATTATGTTTGTGCTTGTAGCCCCATTATGTACATGACGTTAGCCCTATCGTGGTAATTCGTGTAGCCCCGTCAAGTTTTGGTAGGTTGTCAAGTATTTATGAATGTTTTATCCCCAAATTTTGGTAGGTTGTCAAGTATTTGTGAATGTTTTATCCAGAAGTTTTGGTAGGTTGTCAAGTATTTATGAATGTTTTATCCCCAAATTTTGGTAGGTTGTCAAGTATTTGTGAATGTTTTATCCAGAAGTTTTGGTAGGTTGTCAAGTATTTGTTCTCAATGTTTTATCCCCAAATTTTGGTAGGTTGTCAAGTATTTATGAATGTTTTATCCAGAAGTTTTGGTAGGTTGTCAAGTATTTATGAATGTTTTATCCAGAAGTTTTGGTAGGTTGTCAAGTATTTGTGAATGTTTTATCCAGAAGTTTTGGTAGGTTGTCAAGTATTTGTTCTCAATGTTTTATCCCCAAATTTTGGTAGGTTGTCAAGTATTTATGAATGTTTTATCCAGAAGTTTTGGTAGGTTGTCAAGTATTTGTGAATGTTTTATCCAGAAGTTTTGGTAGGTTGTCAAGTATTTGTTCTCAATGTTTTATCCCCAAATTTTGGTAGGTTGTCAAGTATTTATGAATGTTTTATCCAGAAGTTTTGGTAGGTTGTCAAGTATTTATGAATGTTTTATCCCCAAATTTTGGTAGGTTGTCAAGTATTTGTGAATGTTTTATCCAGAAGTTTTGGTAGGTTGTCAAGTATTTGTTCTCAATGTTTTATCCCCAAATTTTGGTAGGTTGTCAAGTATTTATGAATGTTTTATCCAGAAGTTTTAGTAGGTTTTCAAGTATTTATGAATGTTAATCCAGAAGTTTTGGTAGGTTGTCAAGTATTTATGAATGTTTTATGCCCAAGTTTTGTAACTGAGATCGAGAATGTATTGTTAAGCCAACTTTTCATGAACCAAATTTTTCAGAATTTATAACTGAAACGACAGAAAATGATGTTTATGTGTACTATTTTTAGCCCCAAGCAGTACAATCCAAACTGTTCTACATGACTGATTTTCATTTCCCGTATCGAGCACAGCGAACCGCCACGACAGTTCCGCTTGAATGATTTGCACCACTAAAGCTACTTACGAAAACTTGAGCGGCATGAAACCGATAGGTCACATTCGCTTGTCTCCCTACTGTCACGTCACATGGTGACATGGCCAAGATTGTGTGGTGACATGGCCAAGATTGTGTGGTGACATGGCCAAGATTGTGTGGTGACATGGCCAAGATTGTGTGGTGACATGGCCAAGATTTTGTGGTGACATGGCCAAGATTGTGTGGTGACCTGGCCAAGATTGTGTGGTGACATGGCCAAGATTGTGTGGTGACATGGCCAAGATTGTGTGGTGACATGGCCAAGATTGTGTGGTGACATGGCCAAGATTGTGTGGTGGCATGGCCAAGATTGAGTGGTGATATGGCCAAGATTGTGTGGTGACATGGCCAAGATTTTGTGGTGACATGGCCAAGATTGTGTGGTGACATGGCCAAGATTGTGTGGTGACATGGCCAAGATTGTGTGGTGACATGGCCAAGATTGTGTTTGTGTGGTGACATGGCCAAGATTGTGTGGTGACATGGCCAAGATCGTGTGGTGACATGGCCAAGATTGTGTGGTGACATGGCCAAGATTGTGTTTGTGTGGTGACATGGCCAAGATTGTGTGGTGACATGGCCAAGATCGTGTGGTGACATGGCCAAGATTGTGTGGTGACATGGCCAAGATTGTGTTTGTGTGGTGACATGGCCAAGATTGTGTGGTGACATGGCCAAGATTGTGTTTGTGTGGTGACATGGCCAAGATTGTGTGGTGACATGGCAAAGATTGTGTGGTGACATGGCCAAGATTTTGTGGTGACATGGCCAAGATTGTGTGGTGACATGGCCAAGATTGTGTTTGTGGTGAGGTGACATGGCCAAGATTGTGTGGTGACATGGCCAAGATTGTGTGGTGACATGGCCAAGATTGTGTGGTGACATGGCCAAGATTGTGTTTGTGGTGAGGTGACATGGCCAATATTGTGTGGTGACATGGCCAAGATTGTGTGGTGACATGGCCAAGATTGTGTTTGTGATGACAAGACTAAGAATTTATTTTGTTCGTGGCCAAATTGTTCTTGATACAACGAACCCGAAACGTTACAGAGACCTATCACATTTGTAAGACCACGTTGATTGGCTAGAACTTAAGAAGTCATTGCATCATGTTTGACCTTGTGTTTCCCTTGACCTTGTGTTTCCCTTGACCTTGTGTTTCCCCTGACCTTGTGTTTCCCTTGACCTTGTGTTTCCCTTGACCTTCTGTCTCCGTGTGTTATGCAACAGGTGGGTACTCACGTCTGCCTCCTACTTGCCACACTGCTAGCGGGAGGGGTCGGCTATGGGCTGTCCATTCAAAATGTTTTCATCAACCGCGCCAACTGCATGTAAGTTTCTGTGGTTGTTAGTGTGTCCATTTGTTTGTGTGTCCGTTTGTTATTGTGTCCGTTTGTTAGTTTGTCCGTTTGTTTGCTTGTCCATTTGTTTGCTTGTCCGCTTGTTTGCGTGTCCGTTTGTTAATGTGTCCGTTTGTTTGTGTGTCCGTTTGTTAGTTACTCCGTTTGTTTGCTTGTCCATTTGTTTGCTTGTCCGCTTGTTTGCGTGTCCGTTTGTTAGTGTGTCCGTTTGTTAGTGTGTCCGTTTGTTAGTGTGTCCGTTTGTTTGCGAGTCCGTATGTTTGTGTGTCCATTTGTTAGTGTGTTCGTTTGTTAGTGTGTCCGTTTGTTTGTGTGTCCGTTTATTTGCGTGTGCGTTTGCTAGTGTGTCCGTTTGTTTGTGTGTCCGTTTGTTTGTGTGTCCGATTGTTTGCGAGTCCGTATGTTTGTGTGTCCATTTGTTAGTGTGTTCGTTTGCTAGTGTGTCCGTTTGTTTGTGTGTCCGTCTGTTTGTGTGTCCGTTTGTTTGCGAGTCCGTATGTTTGTGTGTCCGTTTGTTAGTGTGTTCGTTTGCTAGTGTGTCCGTTTGTTTGTGTGTCCGTCTGTTTGTGTGTCCGTTTATTTGCGAGTTCGTATGTTTGTGTGTCCATTTGTTAGTGTGTCCGTTTGTTAGTTTGTCCGTTTGTTTGCTTGTCCGCTTTGTTAGTGTGTCCGTTTGATTGTGTGTCCGTTTGTTAGTGTGCCCGTTTGTTTGCGAGTCCGTATGTTTGTGTGTCCGTTTGTTAGTGTGTTCGTTTGTTAGTGTGTCCGTATGTTTGTGTGTCCATTTGTTAGTGTGTCCATTTGTTAGTGTGTCCGTTTTTTAGTGTGTCCATTTGTTAATGTGTCCATTTGTTAGTGTGTCCATTTGTTTGTGTGTCCGTCTGTTTGTGTGTCCGTTTGTTAGTGTGTCCGTTTGTGTGTCCGTTTGTTAGTGTGTCCATTTGTTAGTGTGTCCATTTGTTTGTGTGTCCGTCTGTGTGTGTGTCCGTTTGTTAGTGTATCCGTTTGTTAGTGTATCCGTTTGTTAGTGTGCCCGTTTGTTTGCGAGTCCGTATGTTTGTGTGTCCGTTTGTTAGTGTGTTCGTTTGTTAGTGTGTCCGTATGTTTGTGTTTCCATTTGTTAGTGTGTCCATTTGTTAGTGTGTCCGTTTGTTAGTGTGTCCGTTTGTGTGTCCGTTTGTTAGTGTGTCCATTTGTTAGTGTGTCCATTTGTTTGTGTGTCCGTCTGTGTGTGTGTCCGTTTGTTAGTGTATCCGTTTGTTAGTGTATCCGTTTGTTAGTGTGTCCGTTTGTTTGTGTGTCCGTTTGTTTGTGTGTCCGTTTGTTAGTGTGTCCGTTTGTTAGTGTGTCCGTTTGTTTGTGTGTCCACGTACTGTTTTGTCCATCTCTTAGTGACGTATGTAAACCTTATCACGTGACCATTGCAATCTTGCCTAACCGTTGACCTTGACCTCCTTCAGGCCGACCAGTGAGGTCAGCTGTCAGAGAGAGAGCCTGGTCTACATGTACGTCGGGGCGGGGGGCGCTGCTGCTGCTCTCACAGTGCTCAGTCTGGCTGTCTCGGCATTCTCCTGCTCCATGGCTCTGGTAGGTCCATGGCTCTGGTAGGTCTATGGCTCTGGTAGGTCCATGGCTCTGGTAGGTCCCTGCTCCATGGCTCTGGTAGGTCTATGGCTCTGGTAGGTCTATGGCTCTGGTAGGTCCATGGCTCTGGTAGGTCCATGGCTCTGGTAGGTCTATGGCTCTGGTAGGTCTATGGCTCTGGTAGGTCTATGGCTCTGGTAGGTCTATGGCTCTGGTAGGTCCCTGCTCCATGGCTCTGGTAGGTCCATGGCTCTGGTAGGTCCATGGCTCTGGTAGGTCTATGGCTCTGGTAGGTCTATGGCTCTGGTAGGTCTATGGCTCTGGTAGGTCTATGGCTCTGGTAGGTCCCTGCTCCATGGCTCTGGTAGGTCTATGGCTCTGGTAGGTCTATGGCTCTGGTAGGTCTATGGCTCTGGTAGGTCTATGTCTCTGGTAGGTCCATGGCTCTGGTAGGTCCATGGCTCTGGTAGGTCCGTGGCTCTGGTAGGTCCATGGCTCTGGTAGGTCCATGGCTTTGGTAGGTCTATGGCTCTGGTAGGTCTATGGCTCTGGTAGGTCCCTGCTCCATGGCTCTGGTAGGTCTATGGCTCTGGTAGGTCCATGGCTCTGGTAGGTCTATGGCTCTGGTAGGTCCATGGCTCTGGTAGGTCCATGGCTCTGGTAGGTCTATGGCTCTGGTAGGTCTATGGCTCTGGTAGGTCTATGGCTCTGGTAGGTCTATGGCTCTGGTAGGTCCCTGCTCCATGGCTCTGGTAGGACCATGGCTCTGGTAGGTCCATGGCTCTGGTAGGTCTATGGCTCTGGTAGGTCTATGGCTCTGGTAGGTCTATGGCTCTGGTAGGTCTATGGCTCTGGTAGGTCCCTGCTCCATGGCTCTGGTAGGTCTATGGCTCTGGTAGGTCTATGGCTCTGGTAGGTCTATGGCTCTGGTAGGTCTATGTCTCTGGTAGGTCCATGGCTCTGGTAGGTCCATGGCTCTGGTAGGTCTATGGCTCTGGTAGGTCTATGGCTCTGGTAGGTCCCTGCTCCATGGCTCTGGTAGGTCCATGGCTCTGGTAGGTCTATGGCTCTGGTAGGTCTATGGCTCTGGTAGGTCTATGGCTCTGGTAGGTCTATGGCTCTGGTAGGTCCCTGCTCCATGGCTCTGGTAGGTCTATGGCTCTGGTAGGTCCATGGCTCTGGTAGGTCCATGGCTCTGGTGGGTCCGTACCTGGCTCATGTATAGCTCTTTAGCTCAACATTTGCCCGCTCATAACTTTGGTAGGTCATTAGGTCACCACTGCTGCAAGAGGTGACCTAATGACCTCATTATCTCACTCTGATTTTCCTTTGATGGGTCTCAAATACTAACAAACTTAGATTGTCATTTTAACGGACCCAAGTTTAATGATTAAGTTTTCTAAAGTGTATTAAAAATGTACTTTTAAAAATGACCTGTTTTTAAAGCTGTTTAAAACTTTTTCAATCCAGACACGCAGGGAGGTCAGGAGACTCGCTAAAGAGAGGTCAGGAGACGTCTCTCACACACCTGACAGGAAACCTCTCCTGCTCTCTCCAACAGGCTGCCAGTAGAGGCACTTCAGTGGAGTTAGTGTCGGGTTAGTTGTGGGGGTGGAGTTAGTGGCGGGTTAGTTGTGGGGGTGGAGTTAGTGGTGGGTCAGTTATGGGTTAGTGGGATGTATGTGCATAGATTGTCGCTTTCTTAATTTTAATCATTTTATCCCAAAATAATTGATATTGTAAATTAATGGATGTTGTTGAAAAATGTTGTGTAATAATTGTGTTTTTTATATTTCCATTGAACACCTCGCCCCATCCTCAGTGCCCTTTTATCACTGTAGTTCTCCTCCCCCCTCCCCCCCACCCCATCCCTAATTGGATCTGAGAGTAACGAAATTATCCGTTCTGTCAGAGTGTTTAACATATAAAAGCTCATGTGTACACTTCTCTCTGTCCGCAGGCCATGTGATCAGTGTGTTCAGCGATATATGGGGAACTTAAAGATACGGACTTTGTTGAAAATAATATGTTGGATATTTTAAATGTATAAACTAATTTTTTTTAAAGAAGAAAAATACAAATAAAAGCATATTCGTATGTAGAAACACATTTTTAAATTTAAAAAAAATTACGTTACATGTCACATGTTTAAACTACGGAAAGTACACAACACAAATGGCGTCATCTTCCAATTTTAGAATATGAAGAAATGAACAATTTCATTCACATTTGATTTACCTCTATAGGTCTACTTAACACGACATACGCAATGAAATTTATACAATTTTCTCGGTCAAAATGTCAAAACTTATACAAATTACATTTTAAAAAAACAGCATAAATTCCCTTGAACAACAGGGTTTTTAACGGAATCATTTAAGTATCATAATCAGTGCGTGCATTTAATATTGTGTTGTGTTGACTAATAATGTATATAAATCTAATTGGTTTTAATTTTTCGTATATTATTGGTAGTCTACGTTATTTTAAATGTGTCGGATTTAGATATTTCTTTGTTTTTTCCCTAACATGAAGCAAAGAACATTGGGTTTTGACCTATAACTATTTTATAAATTATTTCACCAAACAAATCAAGTATAATATTAAAAGATATTTAATATATAGAACTATAATTCGCGTGAAACGGGTACCAAGGGCTGTTTTTTTTTTAAACGAGAGTGATCTCCCCTAAACTTCTCGAATATTACATGTTTACAAGCTTTATTTAACTTGCTTCCTCTGTCGTCAGTTTTCGAACACAAGTGACATCGCGACAGGGGATGGGGGTGGGGTGGTGGGGGAGTTTTGGCCACGCGTGAGTGATTTCTTTGGCTGACTGCACGAGGTCATCAATGACGTCACAGTTCTGTTGACACACACACACACACACACACACACACACACACACACACACTGATACACACACACATCCCCGCCATATATAAAAACACCAACGCACTCGATACACACACTCATTTGATTTGACCACCTGAGGTGTCGCGAGGGTCAGCTTTCTGAATTCGGTGTGTCACACCTCTTCACCCCCACCCCACCCCACCCCCCTCACTACACAGTCTGCGGGAAAAAATGCACAAAAATGTTCTAAGAAATATTTTGATATACTTGTTGAGAGGTGTAACATTTTGGTGTTAAAAATGTAGGTGGTGTTTTTTTAGTAACATGTTTTTATACTTGAAAAGTATTATGGCTCATAATAATACTAAGTATATCTTTTTTTATTATAATATATTTACACAGCAGCCGTACAATTTTGTCACATATTTATTTGAATACCCAACAGAAACATTGATTATAAAAGAAATTTTGGCTTTGTGTTTTGAAATAAATGTGATGTTTATTTGTTGTTTTAGTTAGTTTTGTTTGCTGTAGTCATTTTGTAGCCCTTGTCCTTCCACTGACGATTTTGTCAATGACAGTCTTTATTCAGTGTCGGCTATTTTGTCTTGATCCTATGCTTTGTTAGGTAATGAGCGTGATAAATGTAGTAAAGGTTGTTGAACTATGGGTTGAATCAGTTGGGGAACTCTACCAAAACTTAGTAGGATGGAACATTCTTCTCAATTCTACCAAATGTTGGTCATATACCACTGTACGAGAGGCTGAGGCGTCAAGTAATGGCCTCGACTCGTCCAGTGATCTCAATTTTAACCAACAAACGACCACAACAAACGACCACAACAAACGACCACAACAAACGACCACAACAAACGACCACAACAACAAACGACCACACCAAACGACCACAACCAACGACCATAACAAACGGCCACAAAAAACGACCACAACATCCGGTCCTAGCAGACGGTAGTCACGTGGATTGTAGGAAAAAAAGTCACAGGAAAAAAAACACAGGAAAAAAAAAACACAGAAAAAAAGTCACAGGAAAAAAAGTCACAGGAAAAAAAGTCACAAATATATATTTGCATGATATTTGTTAATACTTTTATGTATTAAATATTTAGAGAGTGCAAATTAACTTAAGATTAATTAAATGTAATGTAATGTGTGTAGGCTGTATACGCATAGGATTTTTAATAATTCATCTAAAAATATTTATTATGAAGTATGTAGATTGTAATTATTTTAAACTTAAGATTAGTAGCATTTAATAGAATGCTCCAAAGTCACGTTTTTCATCGTGTTTTTTTTTAAATACCAATATTACATTACCGTGAAATGGTAAGTTCGTCTGACTTGCTGCCCTCAACTCATGGCAACAATAGTTATGTTTAGTTCAACCACCTTTACTGCCCACATTTATCACGCTCATTACATAACAAAACTTAGGATCAAAACAGAAAGCCGACAAGCTTCAAAGGCTGTCATTGACGCATAACGTCAGCAACACAAAATGTTTGGACACAGCCTACTGAGGAGAGGCCGACCAGAGAATAGCCTAAAGCAAAATGTGCCTAAATTTCTTTTATAATTAACTTTTCTACCGCGTATTTAACTAAATACGTAACAAAAGTTGAGATTGTTGTGTTAATTATCTTAGAGTATTTTTACTTACAATTGTTATAAATCATATTGCTTTTAACGTCTATAAATAATTTATGCTATCAAGAAATACAACCCATAACTATAAACATACAAAATTTACAATTCTTAACAAATTCATAAAATATTTCTAAAAAGATTTTTGTGACTTTTTTTCTGTGACTTTATTTCTGTGACTTTTTTTCCGATAAAATTTTTCCACTGTGACTTTTTTTCTATGACTTTTTTTCCTAGCAAAAACTGTGACTTTTTTTCTGTGTTTTTTTTTCCTGTGACTTTTTTTCCGTTTACCGTCACGTGACATCCGGTTCATTTTCATCACTGACGTCACTGTCTTATTGTTGCTGGCACTGACGTCATTAGCTTGGAGGTCACCACACAGCTGCTTGATTGTGCTGCCCCCCCCCCCACACACACACATTGAACTCTGATTTGTTCGAGAAAAACGAGAGAGGGTGTGGATGACCTAATTTCAAACACACATGATCACTGACCTGTAAACTTCACCCCCCCCCCCCCAACCCGCCCACCATTTTGTTCTGATCACGAGTGACGACAGCCATCCATGCGAAGCAGAAGTGAACAGTGGGGGGGGGGGGGGGGGGGTCGGTAGGGAGGGAGATGTGTTCTGTATATCCGACCTTGCGAGAGGGAAAGGACAGAAGGACAGCTAGTCCCACGTGACGTCATTCCTAAACTATCGAGCTGACTGGAGCCATCGTCTGCAAGTCTCCCGTCGTCTTCACACAGGTAGGAACGGAAATTTGAACACCGAGTTACAAGTTTTATTTAGGCTAATTAATGAATTAAGCCAGCTACCATTTAGGTGTTGTGTTGCAAGAAGTCAGTTGTTAAAGCTTTAGAGGCCCCCACTTGGAGGTACCGTCAGTGTTTCACTGTGAGTAGCTCAAAGACAACTGAGATTTTGTTCAAACTTTCCAGACCATTTCGTGTAGTATATCCACAAGGGGCGTCCAACTTTTTCCTAGGACATTTTTTTCTTACTTGTAGCGCATTTCAAACTTGGAATAATTAATAATAATTGTAGGTTCTATGGTAAGTCCTATAGTAGCTATAGTAAGCCTATTATTATACGAAGCCATTATTATATTCTAATATTAGTCATATAGGCCCACGTTTTTGTACTTCGGCTAATATAATCTACATTTTAGTATTTAAATAATATAGCCTCCCCCCTATTTAGTTGTGAAGATGTAAAGCTGTTTACATGACTGAAACCAAAATGTTTTTTTTTTTTAATTTTTATAACCATAAATCATTTGTTTTAAAATCTATTAGGCTGATTATTTGTCATATGATTAGGTTTAATTTTAAATAAAAACACTCCCCTCACCCTAAAACCTCCCCTCAGACCTCCCCTCACCCTAAAACCTCCCCTCACCCAAAAACCTCCCCTCAAACCTCCCCTCACCCAAAAACCTCCCCTCAGACCTTCCCTCACCCAAAAACCTCCCCTCAAACCTCCCCTCACCCTAAAACCTCCCCTCACCCAAAAACCTCCCCTCAAACCTCCCCTCACCCTAAAACCTCCCCTCACCCTAAAACCTCCCCTCACCCTAAAACCTCCCCTCACCCAAAAACCTCCCCTCACCCAAAAACCTCCCTTCAGACCTCCCCTTACCTAAAAACCTCCCCTCAGACCTCCCCTCACCCAAAAACCTCCCCTCAGACCTCCCCTCACCTAAAAACCTCACCTCACACCACCCCTCCCCCCCCCCCCGACAGTTCTGAAGCTGGCACTTGTATTTCTCTTCATCTAAAGGGTTGACGTATTCTTAAAATATTTAACATGAATAATTGATTTCTAATTATATTGTTTCATTGTCTTTGGATACGAATTAGTCTGGAAAGTTCTGAAATCGTTTCATTACGTCACGAGATTTGACCCCAATCCCTCGGGCAGACCCTGACAAACTGCCCCACGTAAAAGTTTGTAAAAATGCCTAGGCTGTCTGTTAGCAGGCTCTAAGCCTAGGCTGTCTGTTGTTAGCAGGCTCTAGACCTAGGCTGTCTTTTAGCAGGCTCTAGGCCTAGGCTGTCTGTTAGCAGGCTCTAGACCTAGGCTGTCTGTTAGCAGGCTCTAGACCTAGGCTGTCTGTTAGCAGGCTCTAAGCCTAGGCTGTCTGTTGTTAGCAGGCTCTAGACCTAGGCTGTCTTTTAGCAGGCTCTAGGCCTAGGCTGTCTGTTAGCAGGCTCTAGACCTAGGCTGTCTGTTAGCAGGCTCTAGACCTAGGCTGTCTGTTAGCAGGCTCTAAGCCTAGGCTGTCTGTTGTTAGCAGGCTCTAGACCTAGGCTGTCTTTTAGCAGGCTCTAGGCCTAGGCTGTCTGTTAGCAGGCTCTAGACCTAGGCTGTCTGTTAGCAGGCTCTACACCTAGGCTGTCTGTTAGCAGGCTCTAAGCCTAGGCTGTCTGTTGCTAGCAGGCTCTAGACCTAGGCTGTCTGTTAGCAGGCTCTAGACCTAGGCTGTCTGTTAGCAGGCTCTAGGCTGTCTTTTAGCAGGCTCTAGGCTGTCTTTTAGCAGGCTCTAGACCTAGGCTGTCTTTTAGCAGGCTCTAGGCCTAGGCTGTCTTTTAGCAGGCTCTAGACCTAGGCTGTCTTTTAGCAGGCTCTACACCTAGGCTGTCTGTTAGCAGGCTCTAAGCCTAGGCTGTCTGTTGCTAGCAGGCTCTAGACCTAGGCTGTCTGTTAGCAGGCTCTAGACCTAGGCTGTCTGTTAGCAGGCTCTAGGCTGTCTTTTAGCAGGCTCTAGGCTGTCTTTTAGCAGGCTCTAGACCTAGGCTGTCTTTTAGCAGGCTCTAGGCCTAGGCTGTCTTTTAGCAGGCTCTAGACCTAGGCTGTCTTTTAGCAGGCTCTAGACCTAGGCTGTCTTTTAGCAGGCTCTAGACCTAGGCTGTCTGCTAGCAGGCTCTAGGCCTAGGCTGTCTGTTAGCAGGCTCTAGGATGTCTTTTAGCAGGCTCTAGGCCTAGGCTGTCTGTTGCTAGCAGGCTCTACACCTAGGCTGTCTGTTAGCAGGCTCTAGGCTGTCTGTTAGCAGGCTCTAGACCTAGGCTGTCTGTTAGCAGGCTCTAGGCCTAGGCTGTCTTTTAGCAGGCTCTAGACCTAGGCTGTCTTTTAGCAGGCTCTAGGCTGTCTGTTAGCAGGCTCTAGGCTGTCTGTTAGCAGGCTCTAGGCTGTCTGTTAGCAGGCTCTAGGCCTAGGCTGTCTTTTAGCAGGCTCTAGACCTAGGCTGTCTTTTAGCAGGCTCTAGACCTAGGCTGTCTGTTGCTAGCAGGCTCTACACCTAGGCTGTCTGTTAGCAGGCTCTAGACCTAGGCTGTCTGTGGAAATAAACTTGAAAGGTCCTTGCTCGTCTGTTTGCTCCACTGAACCCCAGGGTAATCTCATTAGCCATGAGGGGACATAACCCTCTGATTAAGGCCACACTAATTGGTGACAAGCCTGAGTTAATGAATATAACGTCACAACTGCCCTAGGTATTCTGCCAATTTGCACAAGTCCATTTCATTTGAATATTTTATCATTTTTAATCTGAGTAGATGGGCTTGCTAATACAAGGCTGTTCAAGATTCAAATCCCAAGTTACACGACTAGCAAATGTCAGACTGAATGACACGACTAGCAAATGTCAGACTGAATGACACGACTGCAAATGTCAGACTGAATGACACAGCTAGCAAATGTCAGACTGAATGACACGACTAGAAAATGTCAGATTAAAAAGACTAGCAAATATCAGGTTTAATTTCAATACACCAAGTCAAATGTTTAAAACAGTTGCTGCTTATGGCTAATTCCGGCCACTCACGTATTTTCTCCCACCCTCCAGAAAATGTCGAAGAACGTTCCAGAAGAAGCACCCCAGGGCCTGACCCAGACAAAGATCGCCGAGAAACTTCTCAACGACATCAAACAATACGACAAGAGCCGGGACATTCGCGTGCCCATAGCCCTGTCTGTTGCCATAGTAGCAGGGGCTGCCACATTAACAGGTAGGACATGTAGTAGGACAAAATAGTAGGACATTCATAGGACATGTATAGGACATTTATAGGACATGTAGTAGGACAATATAGTAGGACATTCATAGGACATTTATAGGACATGTAGTAGGACAATATAGTAGGACATTCATAGGACATGCATAGGACATGTAGTGGGACAAAATAGTAGGACATTCATAGGACATGTATAGGACATGCATAGGACATTTATAGGAAATGTAGTAGGACAAAATAGTAGGACAAAGTAGTAGGACATGCATAGGACATTTATAGGACATGCAGTAGGACAGGTAGGACATGTCCCTCCCTGACGTGTTCTAATGTTGCAGGTGTGATTGCTGTCTACACCATGGGACTGTTGGACAACTATCGTGGGGGTGTGGCGGCCTACTGGCTCACATGTGCCCCGGTAAGTTGACACACCTTCCCCACACACACCTTCCCCACACACCTTCCCCACACACCTTCCCCCACACACCTTCCCCCACACACCTTCCCCCACACACCTTCCCCCACACACCTTCCCCACACACCTTCCCCCACACACCTTCCCCCACACACCTTCCCCCACACACCTTCCCCCACACACCTTCCCCACAAACCTTCACCACACACCTTCCCCACACACCTTCACACACACACCTTCCCCCACACACCTTCACACACACCTTACCCCACACACCTTCCCCCACACACCTTCCCCCACACACCTTCCCCACACACCTTCCCCCCACACCTTCCCCCACACACCTTCACCCACACATCTTCCCCCACACACCTTCACACACACACCTTCACCCACACACCTTCACCCACACACCTTCACACACACACCTTCCCCCACACACCTTTCCACACACACCTTACCCCAGACACCTTCCACACACACCTTCCCACACACATCTTCCCCACACACACCTTCCCCCACACACCTTCCCCCACACACCTTCCCCCCACCCCTTCACACACACACCTTCACACACACACCTTCACACACACACCTTCTCCCACACACCTTCTCCCACACACCTTCTCCCACACACCTTCCCACACACCTTCCCACACACACCTTTCCCCACACACCTTCCCCCACACACCTTCCCCACAAGCCTTCCCACACACACCTTTCCCACACACACCTTCCCCCACACACCTTCCCCCACACACCTTATCCCACACACCTTCCCCCACACACCTTCCCCCACACACCTTCCCCCCACACCTTCCACACACCTTCTCCCACACACCTTCTCCCACACACCTTCTCCCACACATACCTTTCCCCACACACCTTCCCCACACACCTTCCCCCACACACCTTCCCCCACACACCTTCCCCCACACACCTTTCCCCACACACCTTCCCCACACACCTTCCCCCACACACCTTCCCCCACACACCTTCCCCCACACACACCTTCACACACCTTCACACACACACCTTCCCCCACACACCTTCCCCCACACACCTTCCCCCACACACCTTCACATACACACCTTCACATACACACCTTCACATACACACCTTCACATACACACCTTCACACACACACACCTTCACACACACTGACCTTCACACACACACCTTCACACAAAGTTCCCCCACACAGCTGCCCCAGCACACTGGCCTCACACCAACTGACCGCTGGATTTGTTTTTTTTCAGTTCTGCTTCCCTGTCATTACCGGAGTGGGCGTTGCTTACAAACGCCAGATGTCAAACGTAAGTTGTTTTTTTCCGTAAAGGGTGGAGCCAAATGCAGAGTTTCTTCCAGGCATCTCTTCGGGGGGGGGGGGGGGGGAATTTTTTACCGCACCCCCGAACGAAATGAAATTTATATAATTTATATAGAAAATATATACTTTTAACAGTGTCCGCCCCCCGGAAGAAAGTCTACCGCCCCCCGAAAATTTCAAGTGCCCCCCCCCCCCCCCCGGAGAAAAAAGTCTGGAAGAAACACTTGTCAAATGGGGTGGAGTTTGGTTAGAATGATATGTGTGTGTGCTAGTGTGACTTGTGTGTGTGCTAGTGTGTCTTGTGTGTGTGTGCTAGTATGTCTTGTGTGAGTGCTAGTGTGTGTTGTGTGTGTGTGTGTGCTAGTGTGTCTTGTGTGTGTGCTAGTGTGTCTTGTGTGTGTGTGTGCTAGTGTCTTGTGTGTGTGTGCTAGTGTGTCTTGTGTGTGTGTGTGCTAGTGTGTCTTGTGTGTATGTGTGTGCTAGTGTGTCTTGTGTGTGTGTGTGTGCTAGTGTGTCTTGTGTGTGTGTGTGTGTGCTAGTGTGTCTTGTGTGTGTGTGCTAGTGTGTCTTGTGTGTGTGCTAGTGTGTCTTGTGTGTGTGCTAGTGTGTGCTAGTGTGTCTTGTGTGTGTGTGTGTGCTAGTGTGTCTTGTGTGTGTGCTAGTGTGTCTTGTGTGTGTGCTAGTGTGTGCTAGTGTGTCTTGTGTGTGTGCTAGTGTGTCTTGTGTGTGTGCTAGTGTGTCTTGTGTGTCTGTGTGCTAGTGTGTCTTGTGTGTGTGTGTGTGCTAGTGTCTTGTGTGTGTGTGCTAGTGTGTCTTGTGTGCTAGTGTGTCTTGTGTGTGCTAGTGTGTCTTGTGTGTGTGCTAGTGTGTCTTGTGTGTGTGCTAGTGTGTCTTGTGTGTGTGTGTGCTAGTGTGTCTTGTGTGTGTGTGTGCTAGTGTGTCTTGTGTGTGTGTGTGCTAGTGTGTCTTGTGTGTGTGTGCTAGTGTGTCTTGTGTGTGTGTGTGTTAGTGTGTCTTGTGTGTGTGTGTGCTAGTGTGTCTTGTGTGTGTGTGCTAGTGTGTCTTGTGTGTGTGTGTGTTAGTGTGTCTTGTGTGTGTGTGTGTTAGTGTGTCTTGTGTGTGTGTGTGTGTGCTAGTGTGTCTTGTGTGTGTGTGTGTTAGTGTGTCTTGTGTGTGTGTGTGCTAGTGTGTCTTGTGTGTGTGCTAGTGTGTCTTGTGTGTGTGCTAGTGTGTCTTGTGTGTGTGTGTGCTAGTGTGTCTTGTGTGTGTGTGTGCTAGTGTGTCTTGTGTGTGTGTGTGCTAGTGTGTCTTGTGTGTGTGTGTGCTAGTGTGTCTTGTGTGTGTGTGTGTTAGTGTGTCTTGTGTGTGTGTGCTAGTGTGTCTTGTGTGTGTGTGTGTTAGTGTGTCTTGTGTGTGTGTGTGCTAGTGTGTCTTGTGTGTGTGTGCTAGTGTGTCTTGTGTGTGTGTGCTAGTGTGTCTTGTGTGTGTGTGTGCTAGTGTGTCTTGTGTGTGTGTGTGCTAGTGTGTCTTGTGTGTGTGTGTGCTAGTGTGTCTTGTGTGTGTGTGCTAGTGTGTCTTGTGTGTGTGTGTGTTAGTGTGTCTTGTGTGTGTGTGCTAGTGTGTCTTGTGTGTGTGTGTGTTAGTGTGTCTTGTGTGTGTGTGTGCTAGTGTGTCTTGTGTGTGTGTGCTAGTGTGTCTTGTGTGTGTGTGTGTTAGTGTGTCTTGTGTGTGTGTGCTAGTGTGTCTTGTGTGTGTGCTAGTGTGTCTTGTGTGTGTGTGTGTGTGTGCTAGTGTGTCTTGTGTGTGTGTGTGTGTGTCTAGACACACCTGCTGACACATGAAGCAGACGAGCAGCTGTCATGGCGGCCATGTTTTCCCCACAGGTCGGAGTTCACATGTTGCTGTTGGTGGCTACCATCGTCACTGGTGGCGTCGGCTACTTCTTCTCTGTTGATCCCATCTACAACCACAGGGCCAACTGCACGTACGTCACTCTCTGACCGTCCACCCTCTGACCGTCCACCCTCTGACCGTCCACCCTCTGACCGTCCACCCTCTGACCGTCCACCCTCTGACCGTCCACCCTCTGACCGTCCACCCTCTGACCGTCCACCCTCTGACCGTCCACCCTCTGACCGTCCACCCTCTGACCGTCCACCCTCTGACCGTCCATCCTCTGACCGTCCACCCTCTGACCGTCCACCCTCTGACCGTCCACCCTCTGACCGTCCACCCTCTGACCGTCCACCCCCTGACCGTCCATCTCTTCCAACAGCCGTGTAAGCAGTGAGGTCAAGGACTGCCAGAGAGACACGATTGTCGGCATCTACATCGTCACTGGCGGGCTGTCGTTTGCTTTCTGTTGTCTGGGCGTCCTCTTCACTGGCCTGGCCTGCACGTGCGCAGTGGTGAGTACACACAGGGAGATGTCGTATGGTGGGGTGGGGTGGGATGTGTGTACATTTGTAAAAGTATTTGAATTGAGAGTAATCAGTTTTGCCCCACCCCACAGAAACGCCGGAACATCCGGTTTAACCGTGAGAAAGAGGAGATGGAGAGGAGGGAGAGATTGGCGCTGGAAACAAAAAACGCCAACAAGAAGTTCACCAACACCATCCTGCTGCCTCCTGGTCAACCCGCACCCAGCAAGTCTAGCCTCAATCTGGCCGCCATGACCGCCCCACCGCTGGCCGCCACACCCCTGGCCGCCCCACCCCTGGCAGCCCCACCCCTGGCAGCCCCACCCCTGGCCGCCCCACCCCTGGCCACCACACCAGCACCTAACACCAAGGAAAACCCCGAGAGCATTGTTTCTATAAATAGCACCACGCGCTTGTAGCAGTATAGGGCTCAAGGTCAACCAATTGCCGGACATAAATCAACTTTATGGTCGGAAAAATTCCTTGTTCTTTACGTTTTGTGATGAAAAAGGAGAAGAAAACTTTCAATTTTCTTCAGTCACTGGTAGATGAAAAGACGTCATGATTGGATTACAACGACCTTGGCCTTCAAGAATATCCCAGCGACACAGCGGGAGACAAGATGAACCGACCAATCAAATTACACACCTTCACACACACACACACACCTTCACACACACACACACCTTCACACACACACACACCTTCACACACACACCTTCACACACACACCTTCACACACACACACACCTTCACACACACACACACCTTCACACACACACACACACCTTCACACACACACACACACCTTCACACACACACACACACCTTCACACACACACACGGCATCTAAAAATAATCTCAGTCTATTTGTATTGTTGTTCACACACCAGCTTTAAATCAATGGAGTGGAAAATTTTTTCGGAAACTTTCGCTTTCCACCCTTGGCACACACACACAAAAACACACAGCCCCCCCCCTCCCCACTAGAAAAACAAGATTTTTTGTATACAATTTTTAGCCAATTCAATTTGACCCTAATGCTGTATTTGGATTGTTTGAATTGTTCAAGACTTTAACCAGATTTGGCTTTCTGCTGATTTCTCCGTGACGTCATTCTCTGTGTTGTACATGCATTTAATACTGAGAGCCTGATATTGCACGGTCATGGAGTATTGTACATGCATTTAATTTTTTAACGTTTTAAAATAAAAATCTTGAAATAAAACATTGTAGCCAGAAATCGGTTGTCATTCAATGCGTCAGTCTGTCTGTCTGGTGTCAGTCTGTGGGGTGTCAGTCTGTGGGGTGTCAGTCTGTGGGGTGTCAGTCTGTGGGGTGTCAGTCTGTGGGGTGTCAGTCTGTGGGGTGTCAGTCTGTGGGGTGTCAGTCTGTGGGGTGTCAGTCTGTGGGGTGTCAGTCTGTGGGGTGTCAGTCTGTGGGGTGTCAGTCTGTGGGGTGTCAGTCTGTGGGGTGTCAGTCTGTGGGGTGTCAGTCTGTGGGGTGTCAGTCTGTGGGGTGTCAGTCTGTGGGGTGTCAGTCTGTGGGGTGTCTGTCTGTGGGGTGTCAGTCTGTGGGGTGTGTCTGTGGTGAGGCGGGTCATTGAAAAAAATCCCTGGACATTTTTAGTTCCACATGAAATATACAAGACATTTTTAGTTCCACATGAAATATACAAGACATTTTTAGTTCCACATGAAATATACAAGACATTTTTAGTTCCACATGAAATATACAAGACATTTTTAGTTCCACATGAAATATACAAGACATTTTTAGTTCCACATGAAATATACAAGACATTTTTAGTTCCACATGAAATATACAAGACATTTTTAGTTCCACATGAAATATACAAGACATTTTTAGTTCCACATGAAATATACAAGACATTTTTAGTTCCACATGAAATATACAAGACATTTTTAGTTCCACATGAAATATACAAGACATTTTTAGTTCCACATGAAATATACAAGACATTTTTAGTTCCACATGAAATATACAAGACATTTTTAGTTCCACATGAAATATACAAGACATTTTTAGTTCCACATGAAATATACAAGACATTTTTAGTTCCACATGAAATATACAAGACATTTTTAGTTCCACATGAAATATACAAGACATTTTTAGTTCCACATGAAATATACAAGACATTTTTAGTTCCACATGAAATATACAAGACATTTTTAGTTCCACATGAAATGTACAAGACATTTTTAGTTCCACATGAAATGTACAAGACATTTTTAGTTCCACATGAAATGTACAAGACATTTTTAGTTCCACATGAAATGTACAAGACATTTTTAGTTCCACATGAAATATACAAGACATTTTTAGTTCCACATGAAATATACAAGACATTTTTAGTTCCACATGAAATATACAAGACATTTTTAGTTCCACATGAAATATACAAGACATTTTTAGTTCCACATGAAATATACAAGACATTTTTAGTTCCACATGAAATATACAAGACATTTTTAGTTCCACATGAAATATACAAGACATTTTTAGTTCCACATGAAATATACAAGACATTTTTAGTTCCACATGAAATATACAAGACATTTTTAGTTCCACATGAAATATACAAGACATTTTTAGTTCCACATGAAATATACAAGACATTTTTAGTTCCACATGAAATGTACAAGACATTTTTAGTTCCACATGAAATGTACAAGACATTTTTAGTTCCACATGAAATGTACAAGACATTTTTAGTTCCACATAAAATGTACAAGACATTTTTAGTTCCACATGAAATATACAAGACATTTTTAGTTCCACATGAAATATACAAGACATTTTTAGTTCCACATGAAATATACAAGACATTTTTAGTTCCACATGAAATATACAAGACATTTTTAGTTCCACATGAAATATACAAGACATTTTTAGTTCCACATGAAATATACAAGACATTTTTAGTTCCACATGAAATATACAAGACATTTTTAGTTCCACATGAAATATACAAGACATTTTTAGTTCCACATGAAATATACAAGACATTTTTAGTTCCACATGAAATATACAAGACATTTTTAGTTCCACATGAAATATACAAGACATTTTTAGTTCCACATGAAATATACAAGACATTTTTAGTTCCACATGAAATATACAAGACATTTTTAGTTCCACATGAAATATACAAGACATTTTTAGTTCCACATGAAATATACAAGACATTTTTAGTTCCACATGAAATATACAAGACATTTTTAGTTCCACATGAAATATACAAGACATTTTTAGTTCCACATGAAATATACAAGACATTTTTAGTTCCACATGAAATATACAAGACATTTTTAGTTCTACATGAAATATACAAGACATTTTAGTTCCACATGAAATATACAAGACATTTTTAGTTCCACGTGAAATATACAAGACATTTTTAGTTCCACGTGAAATATACAAGACATTTTTAGTTCCACATGAAATATACAAGACATTTTTAGTTCCACATGAAATATACAAGACATTTTTAGTTCCACATGAAATAGACAAGACATTTTTAGTTCCACATGAAATATACAAGACATTTTTAGTTCCACATGAAATATACAAGACATTTTTAGTTCCACATGAAATATACAAGACATTTTTAGTTCCACATGAAATATACAAGACATTTTTAGTTCCACATGAAATATACAAGACATTTTTAGTTCCACATGAAATATACAAGACATTTTTAGTTCCACATGAAATATACAAGACATTTTTAGTTCCACATGAAATATACAAGACATTTTTAGTTCCACATGAAATATACAAGACATTTTTAGTTCCACATGAAATATACAAGACATTTTTAGTTCCACATGAAATATACAAGACATTTTTAGTTCCACATGAAATATACAAGACATTTTTAGTTCCACATGAAATATACAAGACATTTTTAGTTCCACATGAAATATACAAGACATTTTTAGTTCCACATGAAATATACAAGACATTTTTAGTTCCACATGAAATATACAAGACATTTTTAGTTCCACATGAAATATACAAGACATTTTTAGTTCCACGTGAAATATACAAGACATTTTTAGTTCCACGTGAAATATACAAGACATTTTTAGTTCCACATGAAATATACAAGACATTTTTAGTTCCACATGAAATATGCAAGACATTTTTAGTTCCACATGAAATATGCAAGACATTTTTAGTTCCACATGAAATATACAAGACATTTTTAGTTCCACATGAAATATACAAGACATTTTTAGTTCCACATGAAATATACAAGACATTTTTAGTTCCACATGAAATATACAAGACATTTTTAGTTCCACATGAAATATACAAGACATTTTTAGTTCCACATGAAATATACAAGACATTTTTAGTTCCACATGAAATATACAAGACATTTTTAGTTCCACATGAAATATACAAGACATTTTTAGTTCCACATGAAATATACAAGACATTTTTAGTTCCACATGAAATATACAAGACATTTTTAGTTCCACATGAAATATACAAGACATTTTTAGTTCCACATGAAATATACAAGACATTTTTAGTTCCACATGAAATGTACAAGACATTTTTAGTTCCACATGAAATGTACAAGACATTTTTAGTTCCACATAAAATGTACAAGACATTTTTAGTTCCACATGAAATATACAAGACATTTTTAGTTCCACATGAAATATACAAGACATTTTTAGTTCCACATGAAATATACAAGACATTTTTAGTTCCACATGAAATATACAAGACATTTTTAGTTCCACATGAAATATACAAGACATTTTTAGTTCCACATGAAATATACAAGACATTTTTAGTTCCACATGAAATATACAAGACATTTTTAGTTCCACATGAAATATACAAGACATTTTTAGTTCCACATGAAATATACAAGACATTTTTAGTTCCACATGAAATATACAAGACATTTTAGTTCCACATGAAATATACAAGACATTTTTAGTTCCACATGAAATATACAAGACATTTTTAGTTCCACATGAAATATACAAGACATTTTTAGTTCCACATGAAATATACAAGACATTTTTAGTTCCACATGAAATATACAAGACATTTTTAATTCCACATGAAATATACAAGACATTTTTAGTTCCACATGAAATATACAAGACATTTTTAGTTTCACATGAAATATACAAGACATTTTTAGTTCCACATGAAATATACAAGACATTTTTAGTTCCACATGAAATATACAAGACATTTTTAGTTCCACATGAAATATACAAGACATTTTTAGTTCCACATGAAATATACAAGACATTTTTAGTTCCACATGAAATATACAAGACATTTTTAGTTCCACATGAAATATACAAGACATTTTTAGTTCCACATGAAATATACAAGACATTTTTAGTTCCACATGAAATATACAAGACATTTTTAGTTCCACATGAAATATACAAGACATTTTTAGTTCCACATGAAATATACAAGACATTTTTAGTTCCACATGAAATATACAAGACATTTTTAGTTCCACATGAAATATACAAGACATTTTTAGTTCCACATGAAATATACAAGACATTTTTAGTTCCACATGAAATATACAAGACATTTTTAGTTCCACGTGAAATATACAAGACATTTTTAGTTCCACGTGAAATATACAAGACATTTTTAGTTTTAGTTCCACATGAAAT